AGAAAGCTAGAAAAAGGCTAATATGTAGAGGCAACTAGAGAAACTGATTACATTGGGGATCTTCCTTGGAAGTCCTTAAGATGCTTCTTGTTTTCTAGTTATGTTTCCCTTATCCCTGAAGTCCTAAAGGACATCATCCTTATGATCAAGAAATGGATAACACTCCTTTCACAATTGGCAAAAGTCACACCTTAACTAGGTCACAGATGAATAACACAAATCTTTAGGAGCTGAGTGCATTACCTCCCATATCTTGTTAAGCTTTGGACAGCAATCCATTAGCAGAGGAGATAAATCTAGGCTCTTTAGTATAACAGATTGCTGTCACCAGACTGGCCAAATGGATGAGTTATTACAAAAAGCCACTACTACTCATATTCAAGTTTTGTTGTGATATGGTGTAATATGGCTCATTACATGTGAAAGCACAAAGCTCTGGTAAATCATGCTTTAACGAGGACAAATGTAGAAATAGACTCCCAATTCTCAGCAAGTTAAAAATTTGTCTCATCTCTGCATGCTAAAAAGTATGTATCAGCAACAAAAGATGAACCTCTGGGTATAGGAAGTTTGCTAATAAAATAAAACAGACAAAATGCATTAGCTTAAAACATTAAGATATGTTCAGATGATGCACTGCCAACTTTCTTTTAGTTTGGAATTTTTGTGTATTCCATTGTTTGTGTTCCAAGAAGCTTGAAAACATTTTTCTCTCGATTTTGTCCTTTGTTTACTTTCCTGCTCACCAGCAACAAAAGACAGCTGTGTTGGCAAAGTGAAAATAAAACAGACAAAATGCATTAGCTTAAAACATTAAGATATGTTCAGATGATGCACTGCCAACTTTCTTTTAGTTTGGAATTTTTGTGTATTCCATTGTTTGTGTTCCAAGAAGCTTGAAAACATTTTTCTCTCGATTTTGTCCTTTGTTTACTTTCCTGCTCACCAGCAACAAAAGACAGCTGTGTTGGCAAAGTGAGAAATTTTGCCCACATGCATTTTCTCTTTTCAGAGGGTCTCTTGAAAATAATTACTTTAAAATGATGCACTGAACAAGAATTCAAGCTTATAGCATGGCGGGGCTAACCTAGTCTTGTCCATATCACAAGTTATAACTCTTTTAGTAGAGATCGGGCTCTGGGTTTTGTAGCACAGACCTTCCAGTGGTAGCATTCTACCAACCAAACAGTTGCTTCCGAGCAGTAGTTTTCACCCTTTGCCAGACCAGCACAGTGTTACAACAGAAACTCTAGGAACTATTTCTTCCATTTAACTAGAAAGAAAGATAGATGGTTCTGACCTCTCACCCATGTTCACAACCCAAACCTACAAAGATATATTCAAAATGAATGGGGGAGGGGAAGTGACCATCAAATGCTCAAAACAGTTAAAATTACTAACTTTTGGGTAGAGATAAAGCCTGGGGAATTTTAACCCAGAAGACAGTAATCCAAAGTTATGAACTGAATAGAGCAAAGAGGCTGTTCTTTTGTCTTAGTATACTGCCTAGAACATTAGTGCCTACAGGCGCATATAAGGAAGAACAGACATTTTAATCCAAATTTAACTAACAACTACTTATATCTATAAATCATCTACAGTGCTTAAGTGTTAGACTAACAGGGATAAGAAAAATTCGGTTACAGCTGACATTTCCACCTACACGTCCCCTAAAACATTTGCTACACTAAAATACAACACGTGGCAACACAACCTCAAACTACATACAGTGATCCATTAATCTTTCAGAATTTGTAGAACACCATCACTGTGGCATCTAAGTTCTAAAAATGGGAGTAACAATCTTGACTCTAATTTCCTTAGCTTCTGTCTGTCAAATTAAAAGAAAATTCAAGGTCTAACTTAGCTTTTTTAATCTTAGGAAGTTCTACTGAAATAACCTTTCAATATATGTCCTTCATAGATTTGTATGTCATTTAAGCAATTCTCTAGTAATACCTTAAGAACCAAGACCTATTGTCCAACACATAAAAAAAAAACCTCTGTATTTCCATTATATTTTTAAATAACTTCTGTTTTGGAAAGCTCTTCTTAGGATCTGTAGGAGGTGTCTATAAAGTTTCAGCTCACAACTATTCTTTTACCAAAACATCAAATGAAAGATCAGGTTTCTAATGGAAAACACAGAAGACCTATATCCAGAACCCAGAAAGCAAGCACTTCTCAAAGCAGGGGAAGGAAAAAAAACCCAACCCCACAACTTTATCCTGGAAATATTTATTGCTGTT